AACAGACACGCCAAACGAGGGATGGGACGAGGACAGGGTCCCCACCTGCACGAGCAGGATTTTGGAAGAACGATCAGGGGGACAGGTGGGGCTCTCCTGCTCCTGACAAGGGACACGACAGGCTCGCAGCGCGGTGCGCGGTGGACTCCCACATCCACTGGCGGTCTCATCTCAGTCTAGCGACCTGCCTCCAGCTTGTCGCTGGCAGTCTCGGGATGGGGAGAGAGATTGACCCCTTGCAAAATTCTTTTCCGCAATTCCTGTAGGCCCCCCGGCGGAGCTTGGAGTAACTTGGGTCACCCAGACGTGCCCTTGGACAGCGTAGGGGCTCGGATGACGACGTTGTCAACCTGCCGAACCACGCTCGGCTTCGGCCCGGACCGCGTCTGCTTCCTCACGGATGTCGAGGGCAACTTCGAGTACTTTCTCGCCTTCGTCGAGCTCTCCGAGGCCCTCACGCTCGTCTCGACCGACGGCGCTGACGGCGCCGTGGACCTTGAGCTGCGGGACGGCTGGCTCTTTGTGTTTGGCGGCGACGCGGTGGACAAGGGCGGTTTGGTCGGCGGCTCAATCCGCGTCGCGCGCAGCCTCGTCGCGCTCAAGCGCAAGTACCCGCAGCGTGTCTGCCTGCTCATGGGCAACCGCGACATCAACAAGATGCGGCTCTCGTCAGAGCTCACCGCGGCGCAGCTAGCCGACGGGCGTCTCGACCGGGTGGCGGGGCCGTACTGGGTCCCCGAGGCGAAGCGCGTCTCGCCGCTCGACTTTCTCAACAGCCTCTGCGCGGCCGAGACGTCTGGCGGCGGCGGCGGCGGCGGCGGCGGCAGTGGCGGCGGCGGCGGCGGTGACGGAGGGCCGCCGCGTGAAGAGGTTCTAAAGCGCAACACGCTGGCGAACCGCATTCGGTGGATGCTCAAGGACACGATGGGCGCTGACGGCGAGTTCGAGCGCCGGCGGGCGGAGCTGCAGCTGCTTGGCGGCGGCGGCGGCCGCGTGGGCGACGAGGCGGTCTGCGAGTCGTTTGTGTCTTCGGCGCGCGGCCGGGCGGCGTCGCATGCACGGCCTTCTTCTGTGAGGGCGGAGTGGTGAGTGGTTGCTAACGCGCGGCTAGGTGCGGCCGGGAGGCTTCATGCACGACTTGCTGCACGAGGGGCAGCTGGCCGCCATCCACGGGGGGAACCTGCTCGTGCATGGAGGCGCCCGTCCGGTGGCAGCTCAGTGACCTTCCTTCCTTCCACACTGGTCCCCCCCTCACGTCCACGCCCGACTCAGATCTCACCCCTCACGTCCACGCTCAAGCGGATGCTCGAACGGCACACCTTCCACAGCCCTCTAGTAGCAGCTCAGTAGCCACCCTCCCATCCGCAGCACCACAGGACCGGACACCCTACCCCACGCCCCGACATTGCACGGCGACTACCAGGCGTCTCCTCCGCCGACGGCGTCGCTCTCGGCCGCGTACCCGGCCGCGAGGGCAGAGTCGTGTCGGCGCGCCAGCTCAGCCTCGCGCGCAAGAGAGACACGGCGGCTGGCCTGGCCCTCGCACGCGCGCCCAGACGGACAGCCAAGGATGCGCACATGGCACAGCACGCATGGCAAACCACCGACACGGGGAGTCCAACACACAAGCGCGCCGCCTTTGCCCAAGTCCGAGCGCGGAGGAGCCTCCACAGCCTCTCGCGGGCGCATCATCCCCCTCCCACACACACCCGGCGCTGCGGCCGCCCGCCGGCGCCGCATCTTTTGCACACGGCACACCTCGCGCCCCTCCCCGCCGCCACCCTCGCCGCCGCCGCCCAGCCCGCCTCCACCAAGCCCGCCGCCGCCCTCGCCTCCGAAGCCACCCAGCCCGCCTCTGCCGAGCCCACCGCCACCCTCGCCTCCGCCGCCGTCGCCACCGCCGCCCTCGCCGCCGCCACCCTCGCCGCCACCCCCCTCCCCACCGCCACCCTCCCCACCGCCACCCTCACCGCCCCCTCGGCGCAGGTGGTCGAGTGGGCGGAGCTGCTCAACAGCTGGTACCGGCAGCAGCTAGGCGCGTGGACAGCCTCCCCCTGCTGGGCGAGACTGGAACCTTCTAGGAACCTTCTAGGAACCTTCTAGGAACCTTCTCCTAGGCGAGTGGACAGCCTCCCCCTGCTGGGTGAGCGACGACAGCTCGGCCGTACCTCGCGCCGTGCCCGGCTCGCGCGGCGGTGTGCTACCCATATCTCCCCATATCTCCCCATATCTCCCCATATCTCCCCATATCTCGTGCCCGGCTCGCGGTGTGCTACCGCCACCGCCGCTCGACTGCCGCATCCGCCTTCCCCGACCCCGCCCTTGGGCTGTCTCCGGACCCCTGTCTCCGGACCCCTGTCTCCGGACCCCTGTCTCCGGACCCCTGTCTCCGGACCCCTCTCTCCGGACCCCTCTCTCCGGACCCGCAGGCGCGGCTCTGCTCGACTACTGCGTCCCGTCGGGGCCGCCGTCGGTCGTGCTCGGGCGGCACCTCCCGACATCTCCCCCCCATCTCCAGCACATCTCCCCACATCTCCCCCCGTAGGTCGTGCTCGGGCGGCACCTCCTCAAGAGCGGCATGCCCGAGCCGCCTCCGCCCTCCCTCGTCCAATCCCTCGCGGCGAGCGGCATCCACCGGCTCGTGGTCGGGCACACGCCGCACGGCAACTGCCCCACCGTCATCAAGAGCGAGGCGGCGAGCGAGGGCGGGCCGTCGCTCGAGATCCTGATGTGCGACACGTCCCTGCTCGGACACGTCCACGACACGTCCACGACATGTCATGGACGTGTTCCCCCCACAGGTGCGACACGTCCTACTCGGACATGCGCACGCCGGACAACCGCGGCGCAGCCGTCTCGGAGGTGCGCACAGCGCGCACTACACCTCGGCTCCACCTCGGCCGCACCTCGGCTCCACCTCGGCTCCACCTCGGCTCCACCTCGGCTCCACCTCGGCTCCACCTCGGCTGCACCTCGGCTCCACCTCGGCTCCACCTCGGCTGCACCTCGGCTGTACCTCGACTCCACCTCGGCTCCACCTCGGCTCCACCTCGGCTCCACCTCGGCTGCACCTCGGCTCCACCTCGGCTGTACCTCGGCTCCACCTCGGCTGTACCTCGGCTCCACCTCGGCTCCACCTCGGCTGCACCTCGGCTGCACCTCGGCTGTACCTCGGCTCCACCTCGGCTCCACCTCGGCTCCACCTCGGCTCCACCTCGGCCGCACCTCGGCTGTACCTCGGCTCCACCTCGGCTGTACCTCGGCTCCACCTCGCCTCCACCTCGGCCGCACCTCGGCCGCACCTCGGCCGCACCTCGACTCCCCTCCGGCCCTGCCCCTCTGCTAGGTGCAGCTCTTGCCCGACGGTTCCGCGCGCGTGCACGGCCGGCTCGAGGACAGCTCCCGCCTCGACTACACCCTGCAGGGCGTGCGGGGGCGAGCCTGGGAGGGGCTCGCCGCCCACTTGGACCGCGAGAAGGTCCGGGGCGGGGACCTGGTGGGCAGGCGTGGGGAGCCTAGACACTCTCAGGCGACACACGCGCTGGACACCCCCGTCCGGACTCTCCAAAGGCACTCCAAGACACTCCCAAGACAGCTTCCTGGACACTCCCGTGGCACTTCCCCCTTCTGCACGGCGGCCTCTTTCCGCAGGTCGGCGAGATCTCCCCATATCTCCCCAATCTCCCCATATCTCGTGCTCTTTCCGCAGGTCGGCGCCGCCCGACGACGCGGACGACGCGGACGGCGCGTCGCCTCCCCCCTTCGTCAAGGCGCTCCTCC